CTCTCTTGTGCTATAATTATATTACAACCTGTATTCCAGAACCATTTGATTGGTACAGATTATATTGAAATATTGATAATCTGAACAGCTGGTGCTTTAATCAGTTCTCCAGAATTAGTAATTTTTAGCCTGGAGATTGTTCAGTGGTTAAACCCTGAAGGCTCTATTGCTATAATTATATTACAACCTGTATTCCAGAACCATTTGATTGGTACAGATTATATTGAAATATTGATAATCTGAACAGCTGGTGCTTTAATCAGTTCTCCAGAATTAGTAATTTTTAGCCTGGAGATTTAGTTCAGTGGTGTTGCTGCCTGCCTCGCAAGTTCAAGGTCCCGAGTTCGATCGCTGGTATCAAACCAAGCCAAAAACAAAACAAAACTTTCCTCAGCAAGAATCAGTACTTTTTACATCATTCAGTGTAATGGGCCTGAGAAAGATCTTATTTCCAAAGTCAAATGGGTCCATTTCCTGATGTAGGTAAACAAAGTACAAAAACCTGTCCTTCAAAGGTGAGGGTGCATTATCTCTACATTGTGATGATTTAAATAGATTACAGATACCCCAAAGTAACTGTAATTCAAGAGAGATATAATTTTATTGCTCTCTCATGCACAAGACCATGTAGGTGATTGGACCACGTATGGCTGTGACCCACATCTTCCACCTGTGCTGCCATTCTCAACAGACACCTTCTATCTTGATGACCCACAAGGGCTTGCTGTAGCCTCTACCATCTCATTCCACTGTTAGAAAGAAGCACTGGCAAAGAGGGAGCGTATGCTCCTGCTTATTAAGAGCAAGACCCAGAAGCTGTACACAGATCTCCACTGATATCCTGTTCACTAGAATTAGAGGCACAGCTCCCTATGGAACAAGTGACAAGTCCAAAATTAAGGTCTTTGAACCACAGTGGGTATCTTTGTAAAAATACATATATATCAACTTCATCTTCAGAGAGTTCCGGTCCTTAGATCACAAAATTAGGGAGCCAAATAAATATTTGCAAAACAAATTCTAGGGGGCATATTGCTCCCCTTTGTAACAGAAACAGCCAGAGAAGAAGCTGAGACTTGTGTCATCACCAGACTAAGATTATTGCAAGAAATACTGAGATTCACTGCCTAGATTTCCCATCAGAAGTAAAGTATGTGTTTTCCAGTTGTCCAGAGTAGTGTCAGAAGATTGCTTTTAGCTGTCAGCCTCCTTAGGGGAATGGCTTGGCTGAAAAGAGCCACACATCCTGTTATCTCCTTCTTCTGGGGAAAGAAAAGCATCCAGTGATTGAAGAAAGTCTAATCTCTCTCACCCCAACTTGAGTCTAAGAGTTCCCTACAGGGTTGGCAGAGATTTTCATTGAAGAACCATATTGCCTTGGGTTCTGCATGTACTCAGTCTGTCTGTTCATCTGTCCATTTGTCCATCTGTCGGTCTGCCTCCCTCCCTCTCTCTCCCTCTCTCCCTCCAATTTGGATTCCAAGAGCATGCTACAAGAAGTCTGCTTCATGGAAATCTCCATCTCAGAGTCTGTTCCAGGGAACCTATCCTCTATTTCTCACGGGAGAGTTGGCGTCATTTTCTAAGATCCCTGATGGTTTACAAGATTGGGGTCTGAGGACTGAATGAGGAAGGACATGGAAATGAGCTCACCCTGTGAAGTGAAGTCTGTGTCAGTGCCTTTGAAATGAGTTGCATAGATGAAGCCTCCTCTGTGACCCTATCTTTCATTCTTTTCCCTCACTTTTTCATATGATAAAAAAGTTTTCTATATGTCAATGATATCCTTTTAGCAACTTCAAATAAGTGATCCAACCATAAAATTGAAAAGGAAAGTTGACTGTTAATCCTCATAATCTAGAGTTACAATTTTGTCAGAACATCTTTAAAACTCAATATTTCTAATATTATACAGAATACAGGTAGAATGAAAAGTATATATTAGTCACCTCTTATGTGCATCTGTATACTTGGTAACCTTACATACACACACATATACATATATATACAAATATGTGTGCATGCGTGTGTGTGTAAGCCCTCTTACATATATTTTTAATTGCAGTTATCTCTAATATGTTTATTCATTCCTTGTTCTGGAATATGAGTGTTCTGAACTTGCCAGGAAGCTTGCATCTCTATTTAATAACTCTGTTCCCAATACCAAGAATGGACTTAGCATATAGTAGATAATTATGAATGTGTTGAATATTGAATGATGAAATCAAAGACCAGTTAATTCAACTACTTACTTAGGACTATATACTTCAAATATGTATTTTTATAATGAAACATATGCCCTTGAGATTATTATCAGTGATTAGAATTTAATGTGAAAAGTTATTTTTTAAAAACTATCCACAGAGAATTGTCTGCATTCAGCCTGGCCATTCTTTCTATATTAAACTTTATCTGGCCAGGGATTTAGCTCAGTGGTTGTTCTACCTTCTCTGTAAGTGCAAGGTGCTGAGTTCAATCCCCAGTACAAAAAAAAAAAAAAAAAAAAAAAAAAAATGCTGTGAGAAAATGAAAAAATGGAAACAAAGTATTTGCAAATAGGGAAGGGAGGAGGGGATGAAGGGAGGGCAGGGACAGGGGATAAAAATGAGAACCAAGACCTGTCATGTAAAAGTATAAGATCTCAATGATGAATGTAACTGTACTGTATACCTAAACTGTATACCTAAAATATAAAATAAATTCAATGAAAATAAAAAACTTTATCTTTAGGCTAAATTGGTTTGAAAGATGGTGACTAAGATACTCCAGAAATTGTCTTCCCATGGACACATCAATTTCAACAGCCATTCAAGAACAAATTACCAGGCTGGGCATTTAGCTCAGTGGTGCCGCTGCCTGCCTTGCAGGTAAGTACAAGGTCCGAAGTTCAATCCCACGTACCAAAAAAAAGAAGAAGAAGAAGAACAACAACAACAACAAAAAGAACAAACTGCCTACCCAAGAGCTAAGGAAACCAGGAAAGACATGGTAGTACATGGTTTTAGTACAATAAGAAAAGAAACCATACATCAAGAAGGCAGAACGATAGACTCACCTGCATCACAGCAGCTTGGAGAGAGACGCCGCTGGTTGCAATGAAGGAGAAGAAATTAATTCAAGGCCTTAGGCTCTATTGAAACCTAATACCAGGCAGAGCCCTATAATCCCAGGCCCCAGGTCTAAAATGCCAGGAAAGCATTAGCCAGGTGGCCAAGGAACTCTCTGTCACCCTTCCTCTAACTTGGGCAAAGGAGGAGAGCAAGAATCCACTTGTTGGGGAGTGAGGATGAAAGGACTTGGCCCTTTGGTCCTAGGTACATCTGTGGACTCTCAAACAGCCTGGGTATTAGATGCCAACATATGGCCCTAGTCTGTCAGATTTCTATTCTGGCCAACATCACCACTAGCTGATTGTAGCAGGACTGGGCCATGAATCCATCTAAGCAGTAGGCAGGCTTAGAACCTACCATGTGCTGCATTGCTCCCAGAAGACTGTGGTCTCTCACTATGATAGCTTGATGGTGTTGGTGGCCACTGGAATGACACAGGAGCCTAGGGTGGTTTCTCCTTGGTGATTCTGCTTGCAGAGGGGCAGAAAACCATAGTGCGTGACTACAGATCAGTGACTACAGAGTAAAGGCTTGGGTCTGTATTGGCCCTAGAAAGAAACAGTCAAGTGGCCAGGGGTTCAGCTCAGTGGTTCCACCACCTGCCTCGCAAGCACAAGGACCCAAGTTTGATTCCTGGTACCAAAAAAAAAAAAACAAAAAAAACAGTCAAGAACAGACTTGCTGTTCAGATATTCAACTAATTTACGCTAAATAACATATGAGGACTGACTTAGGACAAACCTAGGCTTGGATTGCCCTCTACTGATGAGACAGCAAGAAAAACAACAGGAAACTCTTGAAAAATGTGAAATTAGAATGTCTTCTATTGATGAAATAGTAGAAGTGATGAGAGGATGAGAGAAAACAGCCTACTTAGAATTTCTGGAAAGAAAGGCACACCTGTAAAGACAAGCAGAATACAAAATATTGGAAAAAAAAAAGCGAATCCTTTAATTCTCAGATGATGTAGCACACCAACAAGTATCAAGAACTTTCATGGAACCCTGACCTCACATAACAGTTAAAGTAAGATGCCAGAAAGTGACTAAAGTAACTAGTGAGGAAAAACTCTGGCATCAAGAATTTAGAAGGGCTATTTTAAAGAAACTTGATGAGCTTCAGGAACAGAAACACGCTTCAATACTCGGGGAAACTTAACAGACATGGAAAGGAAATAAATCAACTTGAGTTGAAAAAAATATACTCAGAAAAATTCAAAACAAAATAAAGGGAAGCTGGGTGTGACGGTACACACCTGTAATCCCAGCACTCGGGAGGCTGAGGCAGGAGGATCACTGTGAGTTCAAGACCAGCCTGGGCTACACAGCGATTTCCTGGGCAGTCTGAACTACATAGTGAAACTCTGTCTCAAAAAATAAAAAATAAAAAAATAAAATAAAAAATAAATGAATAAATGGGATAAATGGGATAGATCATGCCAAACAAAGAATTAGTGAGCTGGAAGATAGGCTAAATGAAAATATTCATTTGGAGGAGAAGAAAAGAAAAGAGAATGGGAATTTTGAAAGGGTACAAAATGGGAAAATATTTGGGTGATTGAGGTTCAAGTTTGACCCCAGCCTGAACAATTTAGTGAGATTCTGTCTCACAATAAAAATGCAAGAAAGGATTGGCTATGGGGACGTAGCTCAGTCCAGGTACAGAAAGGATAAAGGTCACCAATCAGATTTATCTCATCAAAGTCTACCCCAACATATATCAAAGTCAAGCTTTAAGAGGTGAAAGATAATGATTCTCTTATCCGTAACCTGGCTTAGAATTTCAATCTGATTTCATGTGTTGATGGCTTGCTTTGCAGCTGGTGGTGCTACTGGGAGATGTTGAAACTATGAAGGAGGACTTTGCTGGAGCAAGTAGTCATTTGGAATTCTGGGAAATGGCAGAATGGTAAGCAGCAATAACTTCAGGCAGAAAAGAGAGAGGTGGAGACCTGGGACTCAGGAAGAATCTGATGGGAACGTTTTGGCCTACAGAGAAGATGAATAGACAATTCATAGAAAAAGAAAAGGGCAAGCTGCACTTTCTCCCTGGCTTAGGGCTTGTGAGAAAGGAGAGCCAAATCTTACAAGAGACACAGTGAAAGCAGGGGTTTCCAAAAGCCCTCAGGGAGATAGGCAGCAGTTGAACAGACCAGCAGATGCTGTGAGCTACAACAGTTGGTGAGTGACTCCAGGCCAAACACTTGCCATATTCCCTGAAATGAACTATCAGACATCATACAAGGGAGAGGACTAATTAGGATTGTGCCTCAGAGCAGCCGTGGGTTGGCTTTATTTCAGGGTGTCCAGCTTCATGCTCCCAGAGTCATTGAATGAAGGTCAGCCAAAGGAGACATCCATGGGTAGAGAGCCATGGTCAGGCCACCAAGAGATACCCAGAATATTCTAAGCTGAGTAACACCCATACGCAGAGGCCAGGTCTGAACCTGAATCTCCATGAATGTGAAAGCCTTAGGAGTAGCACTCCCATTCTTGTCCTATGACCTGCTTTCTGGTGACACTGTACATTGCAGAACTGGGCTTTAACTGTCTTCTTTGCCAAGAAGAGCAGGGACATGTCATGAATTGGATGTTGCCCCTAAAACTGTACTCTGGAAGATGATCATACACTTGAAATAACAGAGAAATTATTTTTGGCATTGTTACTGTTCATTTGATTGTGCTGTTTTTTTTTTTTAATCTCTTTTTTTGTTTGTTTTTGGCAATGGTGTTTGTTTTGTGTTTTTCTAACTATGAACATTGTACTCAGATTTTGGGGGGTTCAATTTTATTCCTTTTTTCTTTTTCTTTCTCTTTCCTTCCTTTCATTGTCACGCATTTCCTGGGGGCAGTCTTACTTTGTCCTCTGCCTTGTTTCTAATCTCTTTTTCTGCTTCTCTTCTCTATTTTTTCCTGCTCTTCTTTTTTTTCTTTTTATTGAGTTTATTGGTACAATCTAGGTATACAATAGAGTTATAAGTTTTCTATTCTTAAGGATGTTTCTCTTATTTTTCACTATCATATAATTTTTTCTTTTTGCCTCTTTTTCTTTCATCTTCTTTTTCTTGCTAAGTTTTTGGACTATGTTTATCTAATTCTATAAATATCCTTCTATTCCCCAATATGATCCCTTGGAACATTTTTCTTTCCTTCTTCTAATAGAGTTTAAGGTTTCAGTATTTCTCTCTTGCATTCCCCCACTTCCAGATTCTATACTGTTAATAGTTTAACCACAGAGCTTTGTTAATCTTTTGATACATCACTGTAAAATTACAATCAACATTTTTTTCTACCACTAGCAAAGATACAGTTGTCACATTTAGTAATCCTATCTATAACTCAATAGTACTAAGGGTTACCTTAATGCTTATCTCATAATTGCTGGTTTTTTCTCTAAGATTAAGGGTGGCACCTAATTGGTTTCCATGGCTATATTAATATCTATTTTGTCTTGTGTAATATTAGCTATCTAGTTTGCTTGATATTAGAAGGGTCCCATACTTCTTGCTGTCTCTCTGTAAGCCAACACTTAGATTACCTTTGTGACCCTAACACTACTAAAGTATATTCCCAGAGAACTTTCATGCTAGGCTAACTACATAGCACCCTATAAGCATCCACATACCTCAGCACAAAAGAAAACAAGCACAAATAAAAGCAACAGACACATGAGAAGAAAGGCAAGAAAGTGAATCCCAAAACTCCCAAGTCCCTGAAGCAAATCCAGGGACTATTAAAGGACAGAAAGCATAAGCTATACACCAGAATTAATTGAAAGATTAGGGGAGAAAGTTATAAAGCAGTCCATAGAAATATTTTCTGGGATTAGAGAGGATATAACTAAATGGATAATGGAAGTAGTAACCAAAAAGTTGCAGAAGCTTTTAGAAGACAATAATAAAAAGCTAGATGAGCTAAACAAAACAATACAAAACATGAATGACCAATTCACCAAAGAATTAGATTCCATGAAAAAGCTTCAATCACAAATCCAAAAGATGAAAAATCATACTGCAAGTATAGGCAGTAGAATCAATCAACATGGGGACAAAAATCTCAGATCTAGAAGACAATCATGCCTTCAAAGACAAGTATTCAAAGTCACATTAAAAATAACAAGAGAACATAAAAAATGGATTAGAAAATACTAGATGATGCAATGAAGACTAAGGATAATTGGATAATGTAATATAAGTATAATTGGAATAAGTGAAAAATCAGAAGATTGTGCAAATGGCATAAAAAAGCTGTTCACAGAAATAATGGCAGAAAATATCCCAAATATATGGAAAGAAATAAACATATAGGGCTGAGGATGTAGTTTAGTGGTGCTGTGCCTACCCGGCAAGTACAAGGACCTGAGTCTGATCACTGGGGCAAAAAAAAAAAAAAAAAAAAAAAAAAAAAAGAAAAGAATGAAATAGACATATAGATAAGTAAAGCATATAGAATCCCCCCCAAATAAAACCCCAAATAGCCACGACCAAAAGAGAACCTCTCCCACTCCACATTCTACTTAAAATTTCAGATGTCCATCACAGGAAAAAAATTTTGAAAGCTTCTAGAGAAAAATGACAAATCACATTTAGAGATAAGCCAATAAGGATCATGGTAGACTTTTTCACACAAACTTTAAAAGCCAGGAAGGCTTGGAGTGAAATATTTTAAGTCCTAAAACATAGTGACTACCAACCCCAGCTTTAGAATTCAGCAAAACTTTCCTTTACAATTGATGGACTAATAAGGTCTTTCCATGATAAGGATTACCTCAAAATTTTATGATCACCAAACCAGCATTATAAAAAAATTTTGGGATATTGTAGAAAAAGACAATGAAGCCAACAATGCTAATATGTCAAAAAGAATGAATATATCTGCTGGGATGAGCAGCTAAGCAAATGGGAAACAGGAATGAGGAAATCAGCATCAGGAAAATTATGCAGTGAAAGGAATAAGTCAGTTCCTTTCAGGTCTAACTCTCAGTGTGAATGGTCTCAATTCTTCAATCAAAAGACACAAACTGGGGCTGGGGATTTAGCTCAGTGGTTCCACTATCTGTCTTGCAAGTGCAGGGAACTGAGTTTGATCTCTGGTACCCCCCCCAAAAAAAAGAAAGACACAGACTGACAGAATGGATCCAAAAAACAACCCCCTAGCCAGACACCTGCAGCTTGGGCAACAGGCTCCAGTCAAAGGCCCACCTGGAAAACAGCTGAGCAGGTGTGTAGGCCACAGCCAGGGCTGCTACATCCAGATACCATCAGTAAGTGCAAGCAGACCTCAGCCAGAAGTCTGCATGGACAACAGCTGCATGGATACACAGGACAGGGTATGCAGGACATGGCCAGGGCCCCACTCAGACACCAGCAGCTTGGGCTCATAGCCTCCAGTCAAAGGCCTTCCAAGATAACAGTTATGCAGGTGGGCAGGCCCCAGCAAGAGAAATGCCCAGATACCACCCTAACTATGCACAGGCCCAAGCCAGAACCCTGCCTAATCAACAGTCAAGTGCAGGGATCTAGAAGACCACCATTCTGAACCCAAAAATTGGTGCAGTAGTGAACAGTAGAGAGAGGGCCTCTCTGAGGTTTGCTGAAAATTGAACCCCACTGGGTGAGTAGAGTCATCTCAACAAAGGCACAAGAGGCTGTATCTGTTAAAATGAGAAAACACATAAATAAGACTCAAAAACATACTTCCAGAGGCAATCCCAAGCGGCAATGAGATGGAACAATCTGATAATCATCTGAACTCTCTGAACTGTCAATGAAAGAAGATCTGGAAAAAATAAAATCAGAAATTATTTCTTGGACAACAACAGAGATTGAGTCCATAATAAAAGATGTGATTAAACTCTACAGGAGACACAGATTTAAAAAATAGAGAAGCAGAAGAATATGGTAGAATCCCAGAATAGGAAAAAAAAAGGAATCCATAAAACAGATGCAAACAATATCCAGGAGATTAAAAACTCCATTGAAAGTTTACACAACAAAATAAGCTGATGAGAGGACAGAATATCAGATATAGAAGACATGATTGCAATTAGTAACCAGGAAAAGAAAAATTTGTTAATAATAGTAAGAGACCATGAGAAATCAATCTAGAAGCTGCTGGATGATGCAAAGATGAATTACGTAAGACTGATCAGAGTCAAGAAATAGGAGATTGTGCAAATGGCATAAAAAAACTGCTCAGAGAAGTAATGCAGAAAACTTCCCAAGCAAGGAAAAGAATTTGACGAACAGATAAATGAGGCATATAGGACTCCAGCTAGCTGTGATTAAAAAAAAAAAAAATCTACACCTAGGTATATAATAGTTAAGATTCCAGAAACCTAACAATAGAACCAAAAAATATTATAAGCAGTTAGAAAGAAACAAATTACATACACAGGAAATCCCATCAGATTCATAGCGGACTTCTCAGTACTAACCCTCAAGTCAAGAAGAGCCTATGCTGCCTGCTTCCCAAGCACAAGGTCCTGTGTTCAATCCCTGGTACAGACACACACACACACACACACACACACACACACACACACACACACACAGAATTTCAAGCCTAAAATAACCTCCAACCCAGATCAATGTACCTTGCAAAACTATCTTTCAAAATTGAAGAAATAAGGTACTTTCATGAAAAAGAACACATAAGGAACATCATGAATATCAAACCAACACTTCAAAAAATTTTAAATAATATCCTAGGAAAAGAGAATGAAGATCACAATCTCAGGAAGCACAGCAGAATGAATCTATCAGACAACACAAGAAATTAAATGCAAAGGGGGCAAATTGAACAACAGAAAAAGGTCATGACAAGGATAAGTCAATACCTATCAGTTATAACCACCAATGTTAATGGTCTTGATTCACTAATAAAAAGAAATAGACTGGCAGAATGGGT